AGAGAGAAGAGAGAAGAGAGAGAGAGAGAGAGAGAGAGAGAGAGAGAGAGAGAGAGAGAGAGAGAGAGAGAGAGAGAATATGCGCACACCGGCAATTAACATACTATCGTATAAATTTAACAACAGCCGTCGTTAAAGCCTAGTAAATTGCGTTATAACGCATTTACATGTATTGATTGTATCATAGAATTATCGCATCTCACCCCTCACCCCCTCCCTCCGCTACTCTTAAAATATTATTTTAAAAAGTGGCGCGATGGAGATGTTTTGAAGAATAATGATTGCCGAGTTATCAGATGGATAATTATGAGATTCGAAAATTATTCGAGATTTTGGTATTATTATTTTGCCGTGTAATGTAAAAAAGTGAAAGTACATGAGAATATGTGGGAAAACGTTATCTTACCACCCAGTTAGCGACACTGTCTTTGGGCATCGCCTTCATCCACTCTTCGATTATTCTTTTAAACGTAGTAGCATTCGAGGCAGCAGTCACATTCATGATAAAATTAAAATTGAAAGGAATGTGGGAGTCGTAGTTGTAGTATTTGATCGTGTTTTCTAATGAAGTGTATGCTTCAGTCATCATTACCTGATATATACAAGAAAATAGGAGGAGAGACATATGCATAATTATTATAGAACACACAAAAGTATTGTAATATAAAATTAACTCTAATTTTCTGAGAATGATATTACGATTACTGAACTAACTAAAGATACCGCACCTTCTCGTCTGTTTTACTGTGAGAAGCATAGTCATCCATAATCTTTCTCCAGCTTCGTACCAAATCGTACGTTTGTGGCTGATCTTTCGTCAATGTATGAATCAAATAATTATGATCATCTTTCGTTACACCCTCTATATTGCTCTCAGGTTCGTCCGAAGTGTAATTTGTTTCGAAAAGATGCGGTACCGCGTCTATGCGAAATCCATCCACGCCTTTTCTCAACCAGTATATGATGATTTCCTGTGCCATCACATAAAAATAAACAAGCCTTTAACGCGCGATTCAACAATTGCCTACTACGAGCACAATATAGGTATGCATTTATATTTTGCATTTGTCTGTAATTAGCGAACTTAGTTAGAGGTGCAATCGTTGTACGAAATTTTTATATAGTTCTATTTTACAAAATAATAATGTTTACCCTCATCTCTTCTCGCACATCGGGATTAGAGTAATTCAAATCTGGTTGCCTAGAGTGAAATTGATGAAAGTACCATTGATTACGTGTTTTGTTGAATGTCCAAGCCGAACCACCAAACACACTTAACCAATTATTTGGTGGCTGATTGTTACTTTTTCCATCCGCCCATATATAATAATGTTCATATTTGCCGGTACGGTTTAAGCTCATTTGGAACCAATAATGTTCATCAGAAGTATGATTAGGTACTAGATCGAGAATGACCTACAAGTTGAACGTTATATATGTATATTAAATGTTATTAAATATTAACGAAATTTGATATATAAAATTACTATTCGGTTGAACTATGGTTCAAAACAAACATTACAAATGCGTTTTATTTTCTCGCTTACCTTTAATCCAATTTCTTTAGCACGTTTTATAAGATTTTCGAAATCCGTTAATGTGCCAAATATTTCGTCAACATCTTTAAAATCCGAAATATCATATCCGAAGTCTACCATAGGACTTCGATTGATGGGTGATAACCATATCGCTCCTATTCCAGATTTCACAAGGTGATCCAGTTTGCTCGTTATACCTATCATAAACAAAGGTCGGCACGTTAATCAATAATGGTGTAACAAACTTTTTATATTTAACGATATAAAAGATTTGTTATCTCATTATCGAGGTATTTCCAATAATGCAAAGTGTAAACATGCAGTTTTTGAATACATACCGGATATCCCGAAATATTCAAGGATACCCAATAGGATTGCAGCATGAAAGTTCGTGAAAAATTAAATAATAAAAGTGCATGCCATTTTTTCTTATAAAGTAGTTTCTTAAATATAAAGGTTTAAGGTATAACGAATCGTAAAAATATGATAATCTCTAATATGTTTATACATGTAATTATTAGGAAGAGGGAAACCGTGTTAATATCTATTGTAATTGTGTGCAAACATTTTTATGGAATTTTTCAATGAAATATTACATTACGTTAGCAAATAAATGTGTTTCAAGATCAGATTCTTGAGGTTTGAAACACACACACACACACACAGCGCCATTTTCTGTGTAATATTTATTTAAATTTCTTAGGAATGATATACTATAATAATATTTGAAAAGCTAATTAAAACTATTTGATAACTCTAATATTTAAACATGTAATAACCGCTTTGTTTATAGACATATTTTTTTTCTTTAATGTTACAATTAGTAGATTATATCGAAAATACCACAATATGACTGCTAATTTAAAATCTGAGAGCTAACTATGTATTCAAGTTACGAAACTGTTCTCACAATCAAACGATGTGCAATTATGTTAGGTGAGCATACAACAGAGTTATTTTTGTTAATACTTATCACGAAAATCATTATGTGAAGACGAACCATGGATGGCAGATATGTGTAAACATGTAACATGATGCGTCTCAACGCTTGATGAATTGCTGATTCTTTCCATTTTCTCTTACCTTGAAGATCACCCACGCCGTCATTGTCGGAATCCATAAAACTGCGAGGATAAATTTGATAGAAAACTGTATGCCTCCACCATCCTTGGTTCGTAATCTCTCCCGAGATCAGAACAACCGTCAATAGCAGACCTAGGAAGATAACACGGTGTTGCGGTTCGAACATCTTTACAATTATATACGTAGTACGTTTCCCGACGTCGCAATTTATATATATCTACGTGAAGCGGATATGACGTTGGAAAAAAGAACTGGCAAACGCCTTATCGAACGAGCTGGAAAAATCTCACGTGCTCATGATAATCATCAGGTTATTCGAGAGGTAGCATTATCTAGGATATGCTGGTAATGCGAATCGCTGGATAACAATCTACCGTTTCGCGCGAATGAAATTCCGTGAAGTGCGATTCTTCTGAAAGCCGGCAACAAAACGCCAGCTGGAAGAAGATATAATCATCAAATTACTTAAGGATTTTTGTTAGATCTAACAATCTTGACAAATTCATACAAAAACAAAAAGAAAAACATAGGCAAATTAAGAAGAAAAGGACTTAAACATTGCTATACTGTAAAACTATATCTTTACATTGTTCATGCATTTTTAATGGTGTATCGTTTATAGTGTACAATTAATTCCTTTCTGATTTTGGCTTCTGAAATTGGCTTTAAACTTGTTATAGAAATATCTTGTTCTTTTTTTTGCGCATAATAACAACAACGGTAATTTTATTTTATTTGTCCACTTAGATTTTTTCTATGAGAAAATTTAATTACAGTTTCAATTATCGGTCCGTTTATTGGAAATTGAAAAATTCAATCTTTTGCTCTTTTAATTAAATCGCGGGCAGTTTTTCCTTAAGAAAAGATTAAAGCTTAATTACTGTATAAGTATTTGAAGTTTAATTATACTGAAGAAAGGGAGAATATATTTTAATTATACGCACTTTTAAGACAAGGTGTGACACATACACCAATATGACGAAATCTTGAAAATTCCATGCCGCACGGTAATCTTTTGTTTACGATATTGCGTGTTTATCTTTTGTTTACATAATTATAAGTTGTGTGACACATAGATAATCATAGACGATTGAAGTTTTTTCATGCCCTGACGTTTATCACGTTGCGAAAACATTTTTTAACATAGGTACTGCTTTTTATTAATTGAATACACACGCACTATTAAACACTATTATTCAAAATAATTTAATTGTTGCTCTCGCCAGCATAATTGATATTTTATTAATTTTTTATTAGTACACAAGTGATAATTCACGTTTATTGATTAAATTTGATATTATAGAAGTATAACGATGTTCTAATATAACAATGTTCCGGAAAAAATTTTGAAAAATATAGTGCGTTATATTTTAGTAAATAAGATTGTATAAATTATGCGAAAAGTAACGTTTTTAAAAAAATTTATATCAACAATTTCAGAGATTTTACGAAGGTAAAAATTATAGATATATTTTAACTTATTTAGAGATAATTATGTTGTAAATTTTGCAGGAAGTAATTACAATTTAGATCTTAATTTAACAGTATTGCACATTGATAAATTGACGAATAATGCTTATTCGAAATATAGTTTTTATGAGAAATTAAATCTAAATCTAAAGAAATCGAGGTAAACATGCGGGAAAATAAAAGCAGATTAAGATTCGATATGGCTCATTGTCAGCAACATTATAGATTTTGTAATTAACCGAATATTATAAATAAATCGGATTACAATTGATACATATATATGAATAGAGGTTGCAATTCCTCTATAATGGATTTTGTGAGGATTAATTGTATAATTAATAATACGCAATTTATATGTAATCGATATTTAGACATTTATATAACAAATTTTATGTCAATGTCGATCTGAATAATGATCATGCCAATTATATCTTATTACATCTTATTATGATGTCGCAACTGACAATTGCTTTTAACTTGGGATTCAAAAGCGGCAGATTTTCTCTTGCGCGGGAATTCATGATATGGAATTCTCTTTGTGAAATAATGATCGATTTAGGGACAGTCCAAGGTACATTACATGTCCTAAGGATTCCAGTGATGGGTATAGCCGAATATTATTAGGTAATTCAGCTGTCGGGAATGGGTATCGGCAAATGTTGCGGAAAGCGGAACGGGAGATTAAATTCTCAATTTATACCCTTTAGGGGACTAATGCAGATAGAATTAGCCCCTAAGGATTCGTATTAGTTGGGAATGATCCCCGCGTGATACACATATACATATACAAACGATAAGTGTTTAGGCAAAAGTAAACCGTACACGCAGCCTAAGTAGTGATGTAAAAAAATATATAATCTTACTTTTTTGAAACTTTAATTTTATTTTATTTGGAGATTTAACCACATAGCATAATCAAAAAATTTATTACATATATTGTATCATATACATATAAGCTACACTATTATATATGTATATATATACATAAATATATAGAAATATATGATAATTGCAAATTTATATTACTTGAAACATTTAACGTTAACATGTCTTATTTTTCTAACGTAATCATTTATTACCTCCTTTAATACTTTACTGTTATTTGAGCAATTATCTATGCTGTTACTTATGAGCGTAGCATTATTTCTCGCAGATGAATCTGATTATATAATAAGATAAATATGGAACATCTTAATAAGAACTTAATAAAATAAATAAAACAGCAGCGTAAAACACGGATATAAGAAATGACCGTAAAGAGTAATTCTACCTTTTTGTCTGAAGTACAATACTATAGAAATTACTTTAAGAAAAATAACGCCTCGTTCGAATATTCATTTCCATGGTTTTTCCTAGTTTTACGTAGTACTGGTATATATCACAGCTCCTGATGCAGGAATTTTTAAGGTGCGAACATCTTTGATAATATTCCTAAAAAAAAAAATTTTGAACACATGAGCACACATTTGAGATAAGGAGATAATCAAGAGATGGCATATAACGCGCCTCTTACGCTTTAATACCATATTACACATAAGATGTATTTTATTTTATAGCGCGTGTAATTAGCGTGCTACATTAGCGAATAAAAAAATATGCTTACCCAATAAGATGATGAGCATTTGTTGTGGCATAATAAACGTTTAATTGATTTGATACGTGAACAAGCGTTGATAAGTCAACAATTTTCTCTTCATTTGCAAAGTTTACCACTACGTAAACCGATTGCTCCTCATCCGCTTTCCTGTAATAACAAGCACACAATGATTTTATTATTGAAGTTCAGTTTTAAGTGCTACGTTATCTCGCCAAGAAAATTAAACATTAAAAATATACAGATACTAGCACACACTAGTAAAAAGATCAAATATATTTTTAAATATACAAGGTGTTTCAGAATTGCACGGCACTATTTTAGGGAAATATTTTCTAGGTCAAAATGAACAAAAAACA